CGACCCCAAGCTACATCCTTCGCAACCTCAGGTCGAGGTTGAAGTCTTACAGTCTGGGATCTGGCTTTCCGGATTTCAGGGCCCCAACCCCAAGCCCTTAAATCCGGAAACCTTGACGTCTTTCAACCCTCAAGCCATGGAGGTATGCATGCCTGAATATTCATATATATATATATATATATACACACAACTTTATATTTATATATGTACATTATACATATATATACATATATATATATATATATTTATATATATATTTATATATATATATATATATATATGTATATATATATATGTATATATATATGTATATATATATATATATGTATAAAATATATACATGTACATGTACATATACATATACACATGCAGATACAGATACATGTACGTGTAAAGTGTACACGTACATGTACCTATACACATAAACACATGCACGCATATACGCTATACGTATCAACATATACATACATGTACACACACATATGAACGCAAACCGTAAAATCCTGAAACTCATTTTGTGGACTACAGCCCTAAACCACAACCATCCTAAGCCCCACAGCGCGCCTCAGTCCAAGAAGATGCGAGCCCCATCGAAGGAATCGAAGTGGTGGAGACCTGGGCTTTCAAGAGTATCCCTTTGAGGTTCAGGGCCCTGGACTCCGAGAACCACAAGTTTGGGATTTAGGGTTTAGGGTTTGGGGTCTAGGATTTAGGGTTTAGGGTTTACAGCAATAGCTAGGTATGGGGAGGTTCGGGTTTAGGGTAAGTTTGCAGTCAGGCCTGAGGGTTGAAGCCCTGAATCCCGAATCCCGTTCTGCCCTTGAAGCCGCCTTTTAAGCCCTGCAAGACACCGAACCCCTAAACTCTAAAACACCGAACCGGTAACAGAACGACTAAACCCCCCGTTCCTAACCCTGAACCCTAAGCCCATTTCCCTAAACCCTAAACGCTAAGCCCATCTAAACCCTAAACCCTAAACAGGGTGGGCCGATACAACTTTCTGTTGGACCTGTCAACTGCGACGACCTTTTGCTGCTGCCGGGCTGGTACATCGGTGGCTCGCGAAGTGATCCGCTGCTTCGGATGATAATGGATAATTAGAGATTAGAGGCACATTGCTTTGTAGGGCATATCGACGTCAGCATATAAAAGTAGTCCTTACCAACCTTTTTGCTCTTGCATCACTGGTCTGATATCGTCCACGGCGGCGCAGGCCTGCCCAGAGCGTAAGGCTTCCATGTGCGATTCTTTTTGGGTAGAATTGGTCCAGGTTCAAAACAAAGGGCGCACCAATCTAGGGGCATTACGAGTTACCAATACTAGTTGGGGGGTTCCTTATAGTTATAGTGTAATCGGCCCCAATGCCCTAGGCCCTTATATTAATATTATGCAGTATGCCATAGCCTACTTAAAGGATCATGACGAAGTACCCAGGGACTAAGTCCCTCATCTTCCAACGCTAATGCTGATATTGATCCCAATACAGGTACTGATGCCAATACGAGCCCTACTAATACTAATACCAATAGTACGAGTACTCATACTAATACTAGTGCTGGTACTTACCCTGATACTGGTACTACTGAACACCAAACGAATGGCAGTACTATGATTGGCAATTGCGCACGTGGTTGCCAAGGGGAGAGCCGTGCTATACCAGTGTGTGCACAGTGAAGATTGAGAGAAGTTCGTGCGAACTAAACCCTAGAACTTCAAGGCTCTGCAACCACCACGACTAACGACTACGATTGACGACTACGACTGCGACGACGACTACTAGACTATCACTACCACTACCACGGCCACCACCACGAAGAAGCACCGGTAGTTGCGAGTGTTTTCAACGAATGCTATGGGTTGAGGTCTGCAAGGCGCACGTGGTGGGTCCAAGCACAGGGTGCCGTTTGCTGCCAAGGGCGGGATGGAGCTGAGCCAAGAGACCTCTTCTCAAGTTGAAGGGCGTGCAAAGGTTTGTAGGTCTACAGGGCTTTGTGCGATTTGTCGAGTTCGCGGTCTAGGGAACTCTTTTCGATAATGCCCAGACGTCCCAACAGAACCATGGCAGTCTCAAGCCAGCCCAGCATTCATAAGTACCATCGCACATCCTTATCAGCATACATTCCCGAAGTTCCGGACACTTTCAAAAGTAGATCCCCTAATTTGGGGCCCTATACTACGAAAAGAACCCTGGGTCGAAGGGAAAGTCCCAGGGCCTCCACGGAGGTCTTGGCCTGGAGGGCAGCCGCAGCCGCATTGCCCACCATCCTCGGCAGGGCTCCGGGCTTAATGGGCTTAGGGGTTCAGGGCTCTAGGGATTGAGGGATTCATTAGTTCAGGGTGGTTTAGGGCTTCGGATGTCAGGGAAGTTTAGGGTTCGGGTTTCAGGGTTTAAGGTATGGATCTAGGCTTGGGGTGTCCGGGCCTTTTGGGGTTCAGGAGATCTGGTTTAGGGTGTAAGGCGGCTTTGTGAGGTATTGCTTGAAGCTTCTTAGTACTAGTATTAGTATTCGCCCTAGTAGTAATTTTTTCCTACCAATACTTTTCGTGGCAGTATTGGTTTTCAGGCTTTGGAAAGCTTTATAAGGACAGGAACCCCCGAGAGGGCATCACTAAATGGCTACTGGCTGCCGTGTATACATAAATGCACACACACAGATATATATATATATATATATATATATATATATATATACACATATGTGTGTGTGTTTGTGAATGCATGTTTTGATATAGATGTCTTTTTCTCCAACTCTCTTCAACTTTCCCGTTGCTTTGATTCTTGGATCGCCATAACCAGTCAAGCTGTCGTTCACTGTTCTTGCACAGGCGAGCGCAGACGCACAAGCCAGATTTCCAGTAGTGCTTGAATATACCTTAAATTATAGTAGGGATCCTAAATTATTAAGGGGTAGGCCCTGAACCCCAAGCCCATCAAGAGCGCAAGTATGTGTGTGTGTGTGTGTCGTCTTACGATGCAGGGATAGGGTTTTGGAGTTTGGGGCTGTGATTCAAGAGTAGTAGTAGTAGTAGTAGTAGTAGTAGTAGTAGTAGTAGTAGTAGTAGTAGTAGTAGTAGTAGTAGTGCTAGTAGTGCTAGTAGTGCTAGTAGTGCTAGTAGTGCTAGTAGTGCTAGTAGTGCTAGTAGTGCTAGTAGTGCTAGTAGTAGTGTCGTCAATCTTATCATTCAATGCTCTCCTGGCACAGCCACTGCACGAGACCCTTCTCAGATTCTCAGCCATCTGCCACCTCCATGATGCTGTGAATGCTATTCGCACCTTGGATTGAGAATACCGTAGGGGACTTCAAAATGCATTGGCCTTGCAAATCATAACAGGATTGTGGCGCACAGTACTGTATAATTGGAATACGTATACAATGAGCAGACTATAATATGACTACTTATTCCGACTGCTATGTTCTGAATTCTTCACAGTACATGTACAACTGCTCGTATGCTACTGCCATGCTCCAATCACAACCTAGAGCTTCTTGCTTCCTAAAGCTGACGAGAAGCAGAATAAGTAAATTCAGGGATTAGTCAATGACAACCCTGGAGCCGGAAAACTCCTGACCGGCAATTCCAGCAATGCCAACCTCGGTCATGTTTCAACAAATTTTATCCCAGCTGCTGTCCTGCCGCTGGGGCGGCAACATCAGCGCACTAACAGTACCTGCAGAAACACACGGCGGATACTACAGGAAAGCATGCTAGATCTGGCCGAGGTGATGCAGGTAATCAATCTCCAACAAGGGGCTGACTGAGTTTGGCATCAAGATGAATACATATATATATATATATATACATGTATATATACATATACGTGTATACGTATGTATGTATGTATGTATGTTTGATCATATACATGTATGTACAAACTTCTGGTTGCTGTGCACAAAACTTGCCCGTGCCATGCATCCGGGATCCACGCTTTGAAGTTATTATTGACATCTCAAGGATCGAAGCTTGCATTGCACGAAGCTCTTCGCCCTTAAGCCCCAAGGGCCTCGATCGTGCAGTTCACAATATGGGGCCTCAATAATAAGAATAGGGTTTGGGGGGGTATATCATACTAAAATCATGATAATCAGGATCCACACAATAGTATAGGTGATCACTTAGGCCCCTATAGTACTCAATTCTGCCACTCCAACTGGACGGAACCTCCTCTCGCATTAAAATGGCAATGTGAAGGAGAAAGGGCGAGCTGAGAGTCTGTTTAAGGGTTTAGGGGTTTAGGTTGCTCTTCAGATTCCTACCTCAGAGAGACTGCCCAACTTCAAGTACCCTGAACCGCTGGCCTACAAGTCAAGCTCTGATCAGAATCACAAAACGCTCAATCCGATGTTGCGGCACACTTTGCGCCCATGCCAAAGTCTGGAGCATCGCCCTAGCAGCAAAGCGGATGTGGCTCAGGTTGAAGAGCTTTGGGACAGTTTGAGAGAGGCTGAGCGTCTTGTGAGTCTGTTCTTCCATAAATGGCAACAACATGCAGTAGGAGCAGCAGGGCTGACGGCACTTCAAGCGACTCTGCTGCTAGGAACATCTTTCAGCGACCTCCCCCCCTGGCTAGAGCTCAGATAACCCCCGAAACCCCAAAATGGGAGCTTCCGAAAAATAGGGGTACCGAAATCAGGGGTCCGTATAACAAGGATCCAAATATTAGGGGACTAGATTACTAGATTAGGGTACCCTACTTTCGGAAACCCCCAAATCGTTTCGTAAGCTTTTGGATAGGCCCCCTGGGCAGGACATGAACGGGGTCTGAGTGACAGGTACCTGCGGTTTGGATGTTGGGCACAATGGTCGGTGCAGGCCGGGGGGGGGGACACTACTGGAAGGTACCACATTAACAGCCAACCCCCTGGAAGCACACACCTTCTGGGCCCTAAGATGCAAAACACAAAGCCCATCAGCTTCTTGCTGTTCGAAGCATACTCCAAGCAGGGACTTAGAACCGTTTTCTCTATGTTGCTTCATTCGTCGTGGCGCAGAATAAGCTTTTAGACTTGCTTTGTACATGCCAGCGCCACTGCCAAAACGAGCGTCACAGAATACACGTGCATGGAATTGCCGAGCTGAGACACACTGTAGTCAAAATTGTCCACGGGCATTGAAGCTGCTGAAGCAACGGCTTGCACTCTGGGCCACCCCATGGCGAGTGCCAACTCACTCTCCAGCATCCATCTCTTCTTTGCAGGGCTCCAAAGAATGTTTCCGCTGGCTCGAAGTGTAGGCATGTAGCGGAAAGTGCCTGGTCTCACAAGCGGGTCCTGCGCCAAGTTCATAAGCAGGTCATCAGGGAACAATGCTGGTGGATGTTCCAAGCCACTGCTCGACGTCCAACGTTGTATGTAGTTCTTGAGGTACTGGCGCTGCTTGTCCGTGAGCAGATAACTCCAATCATCGCTTGCCTTCGTCAGCGGATGCAACCCTCGCTTCTTCCTTGCTTTGTTCTCACACTGCAAACGTTCCTCATCAGACGTTACAGCCATGCATGCGGACACTTGCGAGCACCCAACTCTGTTGTTGATGTATTCCGAAGCTGCATGTAAAACACGCAACATGTCATGCGTGATGACCAAGTCTTTCCGCACCAGTACGGCAAACTGGCGAGGGCGACCAGCGAAGACAAATCCAGCATTGCCAGGCTTGACAGGCAGGATGATGACACTGTACAGCGAACCCACACATGTGGTGATGATAGAGCTATCAAACCCAACCACATTCTCATGTATGGCGACTGCTGGCTGTGCATGCAACAGCCAGCACAGCCACGCCAAGGTAACGTCGCTGCGTCGATCGTTTCCTCCAAGTTTTTTGCCACATCTGGACCATGGTTGGCAAGGAGTTCCTGCCACGTTCAGGGTTGATTTCTTCTGTCTGCACAAACCTCCGTGCGCTCGGCACTTCAGCTTGATGTTCCCCTGCCATGCCGAGCACAAAGCCTCCCACCGCTCCTGAATTGTCGGAGCCGGCCCCAACTTGGAATCCCAGCTGGCGGGAACAGACTCAAAGATGTCCATGAAAATGCAACAGTCATCTGGGACTTTCTTCTTCAAAATGTCAATGCATTTCGCGTTGATCTCACAAACCGAAGCCTGCTGCCACTGTTTGGGCCATCCCAGCACAGCCTCCAGCGAAGCTTCAAGGACATGGTAAGCTTGCTCTGCGGAGGCGATGCCGGAGCACTGGGAAGAGAACAAATGCAGCCAGTTCAAAGAGCTCTGTCTCCTCAGATATTGCTCGGCATGCTAACTCAAGATCTTCGTATCCATACGGGTCCGGGACCCAAAGGCTTACTGACAAGAGTAGACTATCCGACTCATGCTTCACATACCCCTAAATGTTCAATGCAGAGTTGCAAGTGGTGCTCCCCGAAGCTCTGCTGCAAGAACTCCACCATGAAGACTCCAGCACGAAATGCACTGACAAGGGTGCTGATGCGCTCGTCAGTCGCGACGGTATCACCAGCACTACAATCACAATCAGCACCATTCAACTCTGCATCGGGGTCTGTTACGACGGACATGGATGACCCACTTGACATTGACTCTTCGAAGAAGATGCCGCCATCTGCATCGCTGCAGATTTCCTGCTGTAGGCATTCCGAAGACTCAGCTGTGACGACGACGTCCATCTCCGTGTTCACGCCATTGACACTGGGATCGATGTCGAGTTCCCACTGGCATCCTTCAGCCGACCCGGTGCTGCTGGCGTCAGAACAGTCGAACACAACACCCTCCATGGGCGCTCGTCACACACTCTGGGGCATCTGGGGCACAGGGCCAAGTTTACCAAGTGAATCATTGGGCTTCCTGCTTTGGGCTTACGGCTGAGAAGGATGTCAGGGTATACAGAAAGAAGATGTTAAAAGAAGGCTGTGGACACATGTGATGTTGCTCGCCATGTCGAGATCATAATGAAGCTGCACCACATGGGAACTCATAAATTTTCAGGCTTTGCTACACAGCCACACTTGTCAGGCCACGCAAAGAACATGAGATAACCCTCCCGCGGCCCGCAAGCCATGCAAAACTAAGCCAGCAAGGTTCCAGAATCCACCCTCTCAACACCATTACTCACGAAGCCGCTTAAAGCCTAAACCTCAGCCGCCTTGTAGAGGGTGCTCCTGTGCAACCTCTGCCGTTCCGATGTCCGCCAACTCTGCCTCCGGACGGTGCAACAGTTCCCCTTCCCCGGTCTGCAGTTATGGGTTTGACAGATTGCAGGCTAGTTTCGGGCTGGTGGTTTTGTTCAGTTTAGGAATTGAAACTGCAAGGTAAGAGGTAGACCTTGGACCTTAGGGAGCCCTCGGGGTGTAGGATTGAAAGATCGGTGTTCAGCTTCATGCTCATTGGGTCAGGGACTTCGGCTTAATTCGAAGAATTCAACCACTTCCGTGGGCATTCAAGCAGAGCGATGTTTTCACCAGCAGACACCCCACTGCTAGCGGCACTTTCTCAACTTTGCTACTGATACTGAATTTAGGTCTCGCCGACCTTCACATTGCTTCCAGGAGCCCAGAGGCGTTGACGCTGGACCTGCCATTTCTTGCCTTCTTCACTGACCAGCCAATCATCCAATCTCGCCTGGATTGTCGATGGAGCTGCTTTGCCAGCACTCTTTCGCTGAACTGACACACCCATCGGTAATGCTGCCACAACTCCGGAGGCCAAAACCTTCACCCAGGAATCATGGATAGTCTGAGGCACATTGGAAGGAAGCCCACTTGCTAGAGCGTCCTTGGCCAACTGTCGCACGGCTTGGCCGGACTTTGCCCGCTGTAAGACACTGTCAGGCTCGATCAGGGATAAGGCGTCCTGGCCCTGGCATCCATCGAAGAAACTGCTGTGCCAGCGACCCGAGTTCTCAATGCGCGCATGCAGTGCTTGAACCTGACTCAGCTCTTTTGGTCTTGAAGTTTTTTTCAGCCTGGCATGTGTCCTCTCCAGAAGGTGGACAACCGCACGAACGAGAAGCTCATCTCTGCTGTGCCCTGTGACTGAGACATGCGCCTGCTGCAACATCACACGCACCATGAGGGTCTCCTTGCTTCTTTCACACTACTAGGCAGGGCAATAAAAAGCTGAAGTTTCTTGCTGTTGTAAAGAAGGCAAAACAAGTGTAAAGCTCCGTAGTTATTGAATAAGTACAAGTCTCTGGGGAAGCATGCTGATTATCACACCACAGGTTGGACATCATGGAGCCGACCCTTTCCACAGCAGCTTCTGGAGCTGAAAAAAGACGCCAACGATGGTGGACTCTGCAAGCGTGCCAGGAGTGGGGCGAATGCGAGTCTCCGAGGCTGAACCATGGGTCTGTATCCAAAGATGCCGCGATGCATGACGGGTCGACCTTGCGCAAAGGCTCTTCGAGAATGACAAGCTTGCCCTTTAGGTTCCGTGGGGCCTGAAGGACGCCCACTCGACATGAATCTGAACCTGAATCTGCCTCAACATTCATCCGTCTCTTGCTTGTGCAGGGCCCGATGTACTTTCGCACTGCTCGCTCAGAAACCTCGAATCTCCGGGTATCCTGTTTTGTGAGCCGGTGCCCATTCCAAGATCCCAAGAATTGCGAGACTGTGCAGGCAACATAAGCCATTGCTGGGCTGTTGCCAGGCAGACGGAGAGCTTTGCCCAAAGTCCAACGAAGTCCAGGGAAACTGTTCACTGGACTGACCATGTAACCAGAAATGGAGGACCAGCTCATTGCTTTGCGCAAGGTTTGCGCTGGCACGCCACTGTTTCCGTTCATCTCCAAGGTGTCCTCATAGCATTGACCTTACACAGCTGTGCTAGTCTGTGAAGTTTCACGCTCCCGTCTCTAACTGCGGGCTAGGCCCCATTATTATTATTTATTATTATTATTATTATTATTATTATTATTATTATTATTATTATTATTATTATTATTATTTTTTTTATTATCATTATTATTATTGTTATTACTATTATAGTGTTATTATTATTATTACCATGCGCTTCTCAGTCTCAGCAAGTGGCGGACTCTGGACACCAGCAGCTCGTATTGCTGCATGAACTCCCGCTTCTGCAAGGACCATGTCTGGGGCACCTTCTGGAAAGCATCGCCGTGGGGCCATCGACCCTTGGCAAGATAAGGCTTGAACATGTCCACGAGTCGGCCAAATGCTGTTAGGCATGCTCGGGTGGGCGGTTGAGCCAATAAGCTCGTCCAATCAAAAGCCACCTCCCCAGCACGCAGTAGGGAAAGCATGTCGGAATTCATCCCAACATCCGAGAAGATGTCATCCACCTCTTCTTTCGCGTACTTCAAGAATTCCATGAGTGCCTCAATCGCCTGTACACATGCAGCATGAGCTTGGAACACCCCGTTCGGCACCTGGCACCGGCTCCCAAGCCAGTTAGCTCGCGGGAGGCGTGGTCGAAACATGTCTGAGTAGTCCATCCCAAGCACGGAGTTCTTTGTGGTGTCGCGTAGCTGCTGCCTTGGGCAAAAGAAATTGGCATCCTTCTGGATTTCAAGCATGGTCCACAATGGCACACTCACTGTCTTCTGCACGCGACGGCCCCGCCGAAAAACATAGATCTTGGTCTTGACTCTTCTGATCTCCGGCACTGCTCGCCGCCTGGCCCTTCGGCAGTGTTCTTCCGCGGCCAAGCACTGACAATGACCTCCCAAGCTCATCATGCCAGGGGCAAGCTGCGCGTTCAATTGCAGTTTGCAACCCTGAAATTCTGGAGGAATGTTGAACAGCACCTTGCTGGCATGCAAGATAAAGGATCTGACAGGTTTGCCCCACGATGTATATCGACACGCAGACATCAAGCGCGCCAACTCTTTAGAGGACACATATTGTCTGCAGCAGGCCACTGCGCCAAGCATGATTTTGACTTTGGCAAAAGATTCCTGCATTGTCTCCAGAGCAGCTTCCATATTACGTCTGGCTTTCTCTACCACAGATGCCTCTTCCGCTTTCTGGACGATCAGTGCGAAGGGCCGGACAATCTTCAGCAGTGCCACGTCGAACCCGACCAAAAAGAACACGAAGGAGGGCTCTTGAAGACGCCGGCCGACTTCAAAGAGGCTGGTCAGCGAAACATTGCCTTTGCCCTCTTTCTTCCATGCGACTTTACCATGAAGACATAGAAGAACAATCTGGTAGTTCGAAATCAAACCACCTGGAGCTCCGCTCAGGTACACGACCTTCCGGGTCCCTCCGGGGCCCCTCAAACCGGCTCCGGTGGCTCCCACTCTCCTGAACTGCAAGCAGCACAAAGGTTAGCAGCCTTCATGTTGTTTGTTTTTGGCGTCAGTGCTGTCGGGCATGTTCAGGGCTCTTTCTACTTTACGCAAGTGGCGGCCCTCGAGCATTCTACCGTATTGGTGTTTATGGATGCTCTGAAAATCTCTAAGGCCCATGACTATGGATTCCTGGATTGGCACTAAAGAGCTAAATCTGCCGAAGCTCTTGGACGCTGCACGTTTTAACACTTTGCCTTCCCCCACGTTGAACAGTCGATCGCAGGACGCTGCCACGTCGAAGCATTCGCTTGCAGGAGGTGACCGACGAACTGCTCGCATGATTGCATTGTCGATCCTACTCGAAGTGGCTATTGAAGAATAAATACATTGGACTTAAGATTACTCACAAAAAACAAAGCCCTAAATTCCTCGACAGCACCTCTGGCTACTTGTTTAAGACCCCGTGCCTGTGAAAGTCGTCCCAACGTGTGCACACGACCAAAGAGTCGGGCTCAGCCTCTGGATGCACGCGCTGCCAGAGCAACTCGGCGGCACCGCCACTGGAATGTCGGGCTTGCGCACCCCCTTTCACTATTTGCCCGTCACCATCAATCATGGCCAATCGAGCCTTCAAGATGGGCAGATCCAGCATACTGGGATGTTGCGATAGCATCTCCAGAAGCAGTCGTGTCGTCTCAGAGCCGCTGTGGCATCCAATTCCGAGCGTTCGGTAGTCCAGCATCGGGGTTACAAGAGAGCCATCCTCTGCGCTGACGATGGTCAGATTGGCGACTAGGACTGTTTCGTTGCGGGGAAAGGCACTGCACTTTCCTAATGAAACTGGGTCGGCCATGACAGCGAAATCAGATTCAATTCCCAAGCCTCCGAGAACAGAGCACCAATCGTTGGCGTTCATCATATGCAAAACCTGATTTGTCAAGTATTCTACCTCCACGCAGAACTTGCGTGAGTGGCACATCGCGCCGTCCACATCCACGCCACAAAGCCGGAGCCGTGCCACTTCACGCTCGAAGGATGTTCTCGACTGCCCTTCCACAGCACAGCCGATGGCAGTTCGGACGCAAACCGTGGCGCTCTTCCTCCACCGGGATTCCTCCGTATCCACAGTGTGCGATGGCCTGCTTGGCTGCCACCGGGATTCCTCCGTATCCACCGTGTGCGATGGCTTGCTTGGCTGCAGTTTCCGCTCTGGATGTAATGGTTCACGATGAATGGGCGTCCAACCATTGGCTTCCACATCCCTCCAGCATCTTGAAACTGTTTGCCGTGACAGTCCCAGCAGGTTAGCTGCCAGCACTTCTGTGTATGACTTGCCAGTGCTGCCCTTGATGTCAGTAAACCCGCAGAGCATATCCTTTGTCAGCTGCTTCGGAAGCTTCTTGATATTTGCAACCGTGTTAACTATCAGCACCTGTGCCTGCTGGAGAGCAGGGCTCAGCGAACATATGGTCGAGCCACAGTTCATTCCTGGGACCCACTCGTTGGACTCCAAGCTGA